GGCATCTTGTTTCTAAACGTTTTGCTTCTGCTGCAAGAACCACAGCAGTTTATTTCCACAGAATTACAGTACATTAATTCTTCTGTTAAAGTCCTCTGCATAAAACTTAACTCACAGACCAAGACAATTTTCTGTATTTGTCTAAGATTTCCAAGCATTCTTTTAATCTACTGTCCTGGGTTTGGATGAGATAAGAGTTAACTTTCACAAGAAGCTGGGCCCCCCCGTTTTCTTAGCCTCTTTTTAAAAAGCAATGATAGAATCAAGAGCTAAAGCAAATACAACAAATATCCCACATCCACATTTCAGTAAACATGTAATACTCAGCTCTCAAAATTTTACCTAAAAAAACACTCAGAAGCAGTTCACATAGAGCCTTTTCATGCATTGTTAGCTCAGTAATATGCTGTAACGAATGCACTAAACTGTAGCAATTATTACCTAACTTAGACATTTTGACAGCTACAACCACTGTAGTAACTGACCTTGACTTTCAGCTTCTGTTGCCTCAGGCCTTGAAGTATGTCACAGGCTACGTATGTACATGTAGAGTGATGCAATGGACTGTTTTTAATCAATTAATTATATTAGCCCTAAGAAGAATAAGTGTACAATGATGCTTATGGATGCTTCTACATTAAAAAGTTGAGAATATTAAAAGCGGAATTTTTCTGAGGAACCAAGCTTCATTCAAACCCACTTATTTGAAAGATGCATCTGAGACAGACATGCACCAGCTCATGAAATAAGGTCTTTGAAAAATCAGTGCAAGCACACTGGTATTATTCCTTGGCAATATTAAACAAGAATTGTAATTTTCCAAGTAAGCAGAGCTTTGCTTTAGAAATCTATGAAGTTTTCCTGCATTCAGAATCAAAACCCCCAAGAGAAGCAGAAAACTATATCAAAACATTCTCTACTTTTAATTTTTACATAAATGGTAAAATGCAGGTAATACTTATTAAATGAAAAAGAAAATAGAATTTTATCTATCAGCTTCTGTGTGTGACTGGAATACTTATTAGAAGAATGTTTTTACCTGCCTACAATTGCATTTCATCCACCTTTAATGTGTGAAAATGTTAGGACATTGGAAATGAGTAACATAGGCCAAAAGCTGAAGCATTAATTACATCATCTTTCTCTATGTGCTGCAAGGCATCAAAGACAAGAAAAATTTATCTCTAAAAGGAATCTACTTTATTTCTGTTTTCCCCAGTCCTTGCCAGCAGTCTGCCAATCATTTACAAAAGCCAGCTATCTAGATCCGCAAGCAAATTTTGGTTAAAATACATTCACAGACACACTGCCTACCAAAATTATCAGTACCCTCAAATGCACTTCGAAGAGCATTGTTTCCTCTCCCCACTCCAAAACCAGTATTTCCTGCACGTTTGGTACACATGTGTTAAGTGCATAAGAAACATGGTTTGATCTTTACCTATAGATAAAGATTTAGCCTAATTAAGGAAGTACTTTGCAGAAAGGTACATGTACTTAAAAATGAGTAACAAGACTAGTTATTTATACTGCTTGCTGTTTTAATGTATTGACAAGTCATCACTGTGCTAATACATCTCATGATTTTTCACCATGGTGACAGAGCTCTTGATCCCCTGCATACTGGAGACTGGGTATAAACATGTGATCCTAAAGCAATAAAAGAAGCAGCAAGGAAAAAAAACATAAGGGATGTTATGTGAGAAGCAGGCACCTCCTGTGGACCCAGGAATTCATCCTGCACCTCCTGTGCTCAGGGAGCAGGGCGGTGGTGGTATTTCCATCCCAGGCTGAAGGTCACAGCTGCTGCTTTGCTGTTTGCAGGTTCAACCAATAGTAACCAGTTTGTAGGTTCAACCAGTAGGAAAACTGAGTGTATATTCCAGAAACAAAGAGCACAAAGGGCACCGACACTCTGGTCACATGCACTGTCTTCAACAGCACCCACATACAGGATGCACATAAACACAAGGACAGACAGCCAAGTCCCCTCATCCTCATGGGCTGGCAGACAGAAGGTCAGCAGTGCAGCACATACATGACACTCTCCAGGTTCACAAGCACATGCATGTTCATGAATATCCCAAGTACCATCACAGCTCCTCTGCCCATTGAGCAGCACCCTTGCCCCAATCCCAGGCCCCCTTACCCACACCATGGGTCCCCAACTCATCAGCTGGTCCAGCTTAGTGCTCATTGCATACACACAGCATTCACACATTTGTCCCACAAGCACGGCAGATTTGCAGGTCCCCCAAAATATCAGCAGGAACACTTAGTCTGCCTGACACCCCAGGAACACTTAGTCTGCCAGACACCCCCAGACAGGCCCAGTTCCCAAGGCCCCCCTACTCACCAAGTGCTCCAGCTTGAAGATGGCCAGCAAATATAAACATATACCACCCACCTCCCTCCATGCCCTCCACAGCAGGTTTGGGAAGATACGTTCAGTCCCTATCAGCAGCCAGCACGAGGCACACAGGCTGTGGATCTGTGGTCCCACCTCTGCCACCAACACTGAGTCATTTGATCACCCTGGTCCCCCGAGTAGCTGGTTTTGGGGACACACACTGTTTCTGCTTCAGGAACTGTTAGCTGAGACACTCACCTACCCCAGTAGCTGGTACTTAGACCCCACTTGCTCCAGTAACTGACAGAGGCCAGGGGTGCCCACATCCCTGGTTTGACTCCAGTAGCTGTCACCCAGTCCACTCACATCAGTAGATGGCACTATAAAGACTGTAGGAAAACAACAATACAATCGAGAGAGCTACAGCCCCCCTCCAACTCCTGACACTTAGACCCTCACTCACTTCTATTGCTGGCACCTCAGACCTGATGGTACCTACACCACCAGTGAGACTCCAATTGCTGGCCCAGTCTCTACTCAATCTCATCTCAGTTAGGCCCTGCAGCACTCACAAACAAAAGAGTGAGAGTACAGAGAGACAGATAAGAAAAGATATAACAAAATAGGACAGACCAGTAATCAGGCCAAAGCTCAGCCTTACAAGTATGAAGACTGGCCACAGTTTACACATTATTAGCCCTTTTTCTGCTGGTCCCATTTTGTCTCTCTCTAACTCTCCTCACATTGCTTTAGGGCCTTAGGGTTAGGCATAGTCCCACTAATCCCCTCCAACATCCTGGACCTTCAAGTTTGCATCCTTATCAGTCACAAAATCCTTGTTTGCAGGCAGTTTCCTGATAGCCCATCACATAGTGCAACTGACCAGGTTTGTTTCCTGTCTTTTACTCGCCTGTCTGTCAGATTTTTGTCTCTGTATACTGTGTTTATGGATTCCCCCTTTTCCTTATAATCCCATTCAACAAGGTCTTTGACTAAACACAGAAATAAACATTCCAACGTTCCACATAACCTCATCAGCTAGTGACTGACCAGAGTTGGTCCTTGTTACTTCCTTCCTTACTTTTTGTTGGTCAACTTTCTGTTTCAAAATGTTCCTATTTATTTCCCCTTTTCTTATGATTCCTCTTTGGCACTGAATAGGTCCTTGACCAGACACACTTACACAAACTGATGCTCTCTCCTTCCACACATCCTTAGAGAAATCACGCAACTCTTCCACTAATGATACACAGAAAAATTGTAAGGATACTGTCAGGTATCATAGTCCAGGAAGAGTGACATGAAGATTACCCCTGAAAGCAGTAAAAACTAAGGAGACTATAGAAAAAAACAACAGCTCCTTACCCCAGTCCTAAACAAAAATATTTGACAAGTGTAGGGCACGAGAAGACTTTGCTATGGTAAAGCAGGATAGTTCGCCTCCTCATCTGAGTATGCAGAGTCCCAAGCACATCTTATCTTGATGTTATGGTACCCACTTCCCCGGCATCTGCACCCACCTTTGCACATGCACAAACAATGGCAGCCAGCTATAGATATTGGAATTCGAACAGCAGCATGTGTACAACAGCAGTGAGTTCACGAATGAGCAAAACAGGACTTTGTACATGTATGATATGTTAACAAGCACAACTTTTATCATCCACCCCTGCGGAGCTTTCCCTTGAGCGTCACTCCTGAGCAGGACTCCACTGTGTCGTGTCCCCATTTGATTAGCATTGCTGTTCCAGAGCTCCCACTGTGTTAACACTAGGCTTTCACCAAGTCAACGCATTCACTTGCTGAGTGTCGTGTCTCGCCCCTGTGGGATCCGCACCTACACTTTGCAGTGTGAAAAAAGAAACAGGAGAAAAAATGCAGGATTCAGAACCCCTGTTTCAACCCACCACCATACACATCACCATTTTACCTGTTCTCATGAGTAAGAAAACATTTGGAACAGATATGACTTCTCTGGTAAGAACTGGAAAATTATATGGCTGAGCACAATCTGGTACAACAAAGTCGTAAAGTGGAAGTAAAGTGGGTAAATGGTGAGAAAATAAAAATTCTAATATTGCTGTCCACACCCTGCATCCTCCACACACCAAATACAAATCCTAGAATGTAAACATTCAAGACAACTGCTTTACAATGCATTAGATCTTTTCCAAGTCCTATTCAGTTTTTATGGAAAAACATCACTACCATTAATATTCAGAACCATTTCTTTCTAGGTTTGATTTCAGAGTTGTGACCAAAAGACAACTTAGAAACATGGCTGGCTGGGCACATATAAGACAGCTCCTGACAAAGAAACACTAAGGTGATCTGAATTTTTTTGGTAAAGAAATACAGTCCTTCCCAAATCTGAAAGCTGGCTCAAACAAATCAGGTGGCTGAAAGGAGGACCAAAATGAGCCAATTCTTGGGGTAGGTCCAAAAGTCCTAGGAGATAGCACCTGGAGTACTGTGTCCATTTCTGGGCTTCCCAGCACAACACAGACATGGACATACTGGAGAAAGTCCAACAAAGGGACACTAAGATGGGACTGGAGCATCTCACAGATGAGGAAAGACTGAGAAAGCTGGGACTGTTAAGCCTGAAGAAGAGAAGACTTGGAGGGATCTTATCAATTCATACAAATACCTGAAGGGAGGCTGCAAAGAGGACAGAGAAAGACTCTCTTCAGTAGTGCCCAGTAACAGGAGAAGAGGCAATGGGCACAAACTGAAACACAGGAGGCTCCATTTGAACATGAGGAAACACTTCTTTACTCTGTGAGGGTCATTGAGCACTGGCACAGGTTGCCAAGAGAGGTGGTGGAGTCTCCCTCCTTGGAGATCTTCAAAAGTTGTCTGGACATGGTCCTGGGCACCTGGCTCTAGGTGGCCCTGCTTGAGCAGGGGAGTTGGACCAGATGACCTCCGGAGATCCCTTCCAAACTCAGCCATCTGTGATTCTGCAACAGCACAAAGGAAAGCAGTAACTGATTTTCACTCTATGCTAAACACTAGGTTTTTTTAAGTGTTCTCCTGTAAAAGCAGTAAAGCACAACTCAAATAGTACTTTGGAGTAGAGTTATCCTTGAGATACTAAGTACCCCTGCAAGCACATATGCTTCCCTACTGAACTACAAGATACATCTGAGTATTTAAAATGGGATACCATTTCCTTCCATGCTTCATAAGAGACTGACAATAGTTAAGCAAATCAATATGTAACTAGTACTTGGCATGAAAATTCCACAAATAGAGATCAAAAAACATTAAGGAACAGCATGACACTAGCTGTTCCTATGGCTGTATCAAAAGGCACAGAAAAAAAAATAGTTCAGAACAAAACCCCTCTTGGCACCATTTCTGTGGGATTAGGGAGAAAATACTCTATATTCCAACTCCTAGAGACGTAAGAGTTCATAGCAAGGCACAAAATTCTGAAAGGACGCCTGCAATGTTTCCTCCAACTTGCTTTAGAAATATCACCATGTGGTAAGAAAATAACCTAGTAACTCCTTAAAATGGAAACCAATCTACAGTAACACATCAGGTTGCCAGTATAAAATTTGCTGTAGCAGATTTACATGTATCAGGTTTCTTAATAATTTCTGTGAATTAAAGTGTCCTTCTGACAGTGAAACAGTGAAAATTTACACAGTATTTAGTAAAATTAAGACAATTTGTAAAATAAGAGCAACACTACCAAACGTATAAAAAAGATGCAAATCCATCAAATTTTTCTGTGTTTCAAAGTTATGATGGTATACACCAATTAGAATGTTTCTGTATCTAACAACTGTACCAAGAACACTCATCAGTAATCTTTCTGGGCCACCCATAATTCATTCAAAATTAATAGGATTAATTCATTATTTACTGACGGTGAGCACAATGGTCAATGCTGTTCTTCAGCAACCTGAACTGACAATGAATCCTCCATGCAAAGTGTTTCTGCAAGATCTGAGGTATGCAATAGTAAATCATGTACCAATAGCATAGAATATTTAGCATCAAAATAATCTCTTCATTTTACTTATGATCAAACCACATTAATAACTTGAATACAGTTTATTTGACATCAAGCTGACAGACATTTCAGGAGTTTTCTCTGAATTACTTCCTTCTCTGAAACACATTTCTCATTTAACTGGGTGTTTAGGACACACAAGAAACATTAAGAGACAGTTAAGCATAAACTGCTTAAGTTTCACATGGTAAATATTTTAAGCACTCTTAAGAATTTCATTCTTAGGTGCATGGCACACCATACTCTTAAAATTCTGTGCATAATGTATTTTGTGTTCTCAGACACTGGGAAAAGTCGGGATCCAATTCCTTCAGGAATGTAACAATTTACTCTCTACATTCTTCCTGTCTCTCCATATTGCTAGAAATTTGAAGCCTCAAAAAATACTTTGAATCCATTTTAGAAACTAAAAAATGAATCCACAAAACAACATACCTACCTAACTGGTATCACCAAACTGTCACGTAAATATAGTGTTCTTCAATATACCGCAAAATACACACACTGGCACTAGTGAAAACAAATGTCATAAAACTTAAGCAGTTGTACTTAAACACAGGCCTGAAAATTTAAAGAGGGCTGAGATATTTAATTCTAAGAATAAGGCACTCTAAGTTCCACCTTTTTCAATTCCCTTCTTCTCTGAGGAGATCCAACAGAATGAAGGAAAAAACACATCCCAAATGGCACAGTAAAACTGCAGTTGTAGCATGTAACTGTCAGAGCAGTCTCCAACATCAAAGTGTTGGGGGTCCTCTCACCCTGTATTTTAAATCTGATTTTCCCATTACTGACAGTTAATTTGTTCTTTCCTTCTTCCAGGCCATTTCCAACATAAAAGCAAATTTTCACAACTGAAAAAACAAAATAGTTTTAAATGTCTTCAAAAGAGATTGGTTTCTAAGAATCAGATTTTGAAAATGCAGCTCAAAAATATTCAGCATATCACAGCTTTTTTTAAAGAACAATCTCAACACAGATAATCTAAAGAAACAGCCTAAATAACAAAGCAAAACTCTTACTTTTTGTGTAGAGAGAAGGCCATCTCCTAAAGCTTCATGAAGACTGTCAGACAGAGCACTGGCTCAGCAGCATCACTGTACGTCATGCCATGAATGCTCTGATTCCTGCTCACACAATGATTTATTCTTACTGCAGTGTGAAAGAAAAGTATGGCCAATTCTATCAGAAACTAACAGAGCTGTCAAAGACAGACTAACAGGTTAACATAAGAGGCTCTGGAGAGAGGATAAGATTGAGTTCCTCCAATTGATGAGTGTGCCTACAACAGAGGTGTTCACAGATTTTTGGGGACAGGAACAAAACTGCAAGACTGACAAGATGAAAGGTCTACTTAAACAGAAAGTACGCAAAATACAGCGTACAGGTGTGATGACATGAATTGCCGTATCTTTTTATGTATCTGAGGTCATAGTGGGAAATTCAACAAGCAAAGTTATTGCAAGTGAACCAGGAAATAAAAAGTTCTAGGGCAGTAAATCTGAAATGTGCTCACTGAGAACCAGGAACTGTGGACATTAAAGCAAGTCTCTATTTTTTTGAGGGGCAGAGCAAAGCCACCAGTCTTTTTACAGCTGGAATGCCTACAGTAAACAATAGATTTATGCTGCTTAACTATTTTCCTAGCAGGTGAGGAACAGTTTTACTGCAATCCAGACAAATTGCCTGGACAGCAATCAGCAAAATAATTAAGGTGCAAAAAGGCTTCCTTCCTTTATTCTCCCTTCCCAGTTTTTAAAGTGCTGCTGCTCTTAGAAATCATTAGAAGGCACCAAAAAGCAAAGAAAGTTTCCTTGATCTTTCAAGAGCTTAGTGAAAGAGGAACCTACCCATTCCCAAGTGAAACTTAAGAGTAAGAACCATGAAAATCATCCTGTTAAATCAGAAACCTAGGCAAGCTTCGCCCACAACAGAATTTAAATATATGGATTAGATTATTTAACTTGATACAGATGCTTACACAGAGAAGGAAACCACAAGTTTTCTTTCTACACTAACTGGTTATGTCAAACCTGTATTTTTCCAGGTTTCAAGAATCAGTCCTCCACAGTAAAAACAACTTCTCTAACTAAAAATAAGAAAAAAGAAATTTCACATCGTACTTGCACCCTTATTTCTACCTTGCAAATCCCTCTTGGGGCAGGGTGTGAGGGTGGTGGATACACACAGACTGAGAAAACCTTTCCTTAGACATCTAAGACCTCCTCTGCACAAATTCACATTAGATTCACTAGAAATATAGCCCATGTAGTTTCCACAGACAAACACGTATGACAGTTTTTAATTTCAAAAAGACAATTTAAGTCTCAGTTCACTAGTAGCTCTCGAGAAGTAACTGGTTTCCTAGCTGCACCATTTTTTAAACTCTAGTAAGACCTTACATAGAACAGTTTAATTTTTAAAGACTTTTTCAGTAAAGACTTGAAAAAATAACTTGACTTAATCAGCAGTATGACTTTAAATCATATTATCTCCTGTTATTATGTAAATAAACCACATTGAAAAAATGTCTTTACATAAGCTGATGTATAAATCACAATAGCATGTGACTGATGTCAGCTTCTGAGAAAAAAAACCATTATCTTTCAGAAAAACACAATTATGTACTGTGACTCCCACACCACTGCAAGTGCAAAACAAGGACAATTGACATGCAATTTCACTTTAATATTCATTATAGTTTTATTAAAAAAAAAATCAAAGTGAAACAGATGAGACTCAAATAAAGTTTAACTTGCTCTATAAGTAAAGGAGAGGACAAAGTAAGTTTCATATAGAAGAATCTTTAGATCACTTATTTATAAGGCCTCTTATTTGTACATGACTTCTCAAAACTACCACTCAATACACATTATCTCCTGGTAACAATTCGCTGGAAACCTTCTTCATGCCGTTATACTAGGTACACATAGGTGTTTTTAATAGAGATTTGGTGATTAAGGATGAACAGTAACATTATCAACTTCCATTAGCTATTAAATCTGCCATGGCACCTAGTTTCTCTCCTGTCTCATAGTTAATCCTCTTAAGGACTGTGCCCTCCTTCCTCTTTACTGCACATCTAAGTCTCCAAATGGAGTTCTTCCCTTTCTCACAACAGTATGTCTCTAATATCACAGCTGCAATACCCTTGAAGGGAAAGAAGGCTTATATTTTTCATTCTTGTAGTGCTGCAAAGCAGTTAAGGAGCCTGCTGGGTCAGCAAATAGCAAAATCCCCCAGATATGGATAAATACCATAAATTTGGCAAATGAAACCAGAGCATTTGCCTCAGTAAATGGCATTTAAAAACCAGCACATCAGCAGGAACACCTAACCAATTAGTAAGCAATACCTGAATAAGGCAGACTATTAGTAATCGTGTTCGATCCCAGCTGCCTCGCTATAAATTTGAAGAACCAATCAGAACATATGCATTTGCTCCAAATACTAACCTCAAAAATTCATTTCAAAATGCAAATGCTACATATTCATAAACATTCTCCTGACTTACAGGTTAATGAACATCTGTGTAAGTAAATTACTTCCTATAAACAATTACAACTTAAAAATGATGTCCCCAGAAAACATCTCAATGCATGATCAGTTTTAAAATACACTTCTTGAGGAAACTGAAGGCATCTTTCTGGTTTAAGTATAAAAAAAATACCCTTCATGTTATACAAGAATAGGAATTAACTCATGTGTACTGAAAAATACTACCAGAATGCCCTAAAATGTGTGCTTGCTAACATCAATGTTTCCTTGAAGTTGTCCTTTCTCAACTAACTTGAGAGGAATGGACACCTAGAAACTTCATTTTACTGTAAGAATGGGAGGGTAATCAACTGTTCAGTGCTTAAGAAATACTTGCTGCCTCTTTGCACATAGCACATTGAACCTGCTGTTCTTCCTGCTGACAGCACACTGCAATTCAGTCAAGTCGGCTGATTTTTAAGATCCAGTTCTACCTTTTGCCAATGCCGATGAAGCAATTCTAACAGGAACAAATGCTTACATTCCCCGAATGAACCTCGCTGAGCTCTTATTCACCTTGCAGGCCGCCCCACGTGGAAGCACAGCTTCCATGCAGGCACGGGGGACCACTCGGGCTTCCTAGAGGCGACCTCCCGCCCAGGCCGTGCGGTCTCCTTCGCCCTCTATCTCTGCGAATGGCGGCTCAACAAAACTGGCTCCCGCGGGAAGGAGCCCCGGGGCGCCCGCTGCCCTACAGCCGGAAGATCTCCCCATTGGCTGCCGAGCTAAACGCTGACAAGTCAGGGGCACCGGGCAGCGCCGGTGAGGCCACGCCCCGAGCAGGCTCACCGCCCTTCTCCTTCCCTATTTGCCGTCCCCACGCTGGTACCCGTAGCCGTGCCTCTGCAGCCACCGTCAAGGCTCCTGCACCGCCTCCTGTCTCGTCAGCCGGGGGCCTTGCTGCTGCCGTCCGGGCCTATACACCGCCTGCCCGAACGATCGCTTCCGGGAGCGTCGGCCCGGCGTCCTCCACCCATCACACGGCAACTCGCCCGCGTGCCCCTCGCCTGTTCTGTGTTCGCGCTGCTGTCGCTCGCTCCCGCGGCCCGCGACCGCCGCCGCCTGCCATGTCCCGCTCCTCCGGCGTGCTACGGCGGCGCACGAACCCCGCCGTCTACGGGGTCGGTGACGTCACTCTTCAGCCGTCCGAGCCCCACGAAGGACTGGGCAGAAGAAACTAACTCCGCCCTACGGACGACGACGTGAAGCGCCTTTTGTTTGTACTTGGGGCGGCAGGGAGGGCGGGCGGTTCACGTCACTGCGGCGGCCGGAAGAGGGGGCGAAACAGTCAACTCGCGGTTACGGAACAAGCCGAAAACTTACGCGCCGGCGCTCTCGAGTAAAAGCCGGTCTCCCCTTTGTCAGCAGCTAGCATGGCGCGGAGTCCCGCACGCAGGCGCATAAAGGCACGGCCCCTGCCACCTTTTAGTTTCAGTTTCTTACTCTGCGCCTGGCGTCCTCTGGCTGTGCTCGGTGCTTTCCCCCACCCCAGGAACGGAGGCAGCGCCTGCGCCCGGGTATTCGCGCAGCCAGGCGGATTCCCGCGCCGACAGCGCCTCCCCGCCGCGATGCCTCTCAGTCCCCACAGTTTAAAACGAAACAGAGCGAGCAGTCGCAGGCAGCTGGAGTGCAAGCGGCACTGTGCGCGGCAGCGCGGGACTTGAGGCATCGGGCAGGAAACGCCCCTATCGAGAGAGGGCGCAGACGAGGCCTGCGGGACGTCTGTGTCTTAGGAATAGTGCTGCTGCCACCGGCGGGGTACTCATCGGCAGTAGGAACTCTCCACTTAAAAAGGAAATGTAACAGATGCCATCGAGCCTTTCAACAACAGCCACCTGTAATCTGCTCAGCTCATACTTACGGACCTGGATCTTCATCTGCCTTTCCTAATAACACAAGAGGGAGTGAGACTGTTTAGAAAAAGTCAACAAAACCCACAGGAGCAACGTCAGGTGCTGAAGTTATTAGAGAAGAATTATCAGCCTTTTGCTAGCAGTGTCACTGGGAAATTCTCTCGATGCTGAACTCTTCAGCAAACAGAACAAATGAGGTATCAAAAAAAAAAAAGATTTACGCAAGCTATTCCCCCTAAGTAAGATACCATCAACACTATTTTCACCTTTCAAAACTGTCTCCATTCTCTGTGCTTCAGTTGAATTAAAGTTTCCACAAATCTGCTCCGGGAAGATTAACCATCTACTATAAAGAACTAATGAAGATATTTCACCAGGCATGGAAGTGTTTTAAAAGCAGCAGAGTAATCTGTACAGCTGCCATCTATAAAATGAAAAAGGCAGGAAGATATTCAGAATATGCAGAATTAACTGAAACTAAGCCGGGGCGGGGGGGGGAAGGGGGCAGACAACACACTAACTGGACAGGAATAATTTTTCCAGTTTTGAAATAGGAGTAGGCAAAAGAAACCCCTAATATTCCAATTTTTTTATATATTGTTCCCCAAGCATTCCCCGCAAGAGGTTCATATTGTCTTATTTTACAGATCACATACAAATTGATGCGATGGACCTTAAAATACGTGAATTCCTGAATCATTAAGAGTTCAGTTATAAATGAGTGTTAGGCTTATACTACTTGACTTGCACCATCCAAATAATAAAACAAGTGGATCTTTTTTTAATTATTAGAACTTAATAATAGTGTAAATAATATAATAGAACTTAATAATAGTGTAAAACACTACCCCTTGTAAAACACCTTTCTAACGAGTTGATAGACCTCTGGATTACAGACTGACAACTGTCTGCCCATCAAGACGGACAAATAAGAGTAAGTTCAGAGACAAGAAATTACTAAAGAAATGAAACATGTACTAACTATAACTGGGAAATTTATAAGTTAGAAATACTGAATCAAATCATGTACTTATGTATTTGGGTTGTAAGTACCAAGCAAAAAGAAATTCACAGAATCACATAATCATCTAGGTTGGAAAGGACCCTGGAGATCATCTACTCCAACCATTCGCCTAGCACAGTTCCCACCTACAGCATATCCTTAAGCTTCTAATCGACCCTACTCTTGAACACCTCCAGGGATGGGGACTCCACCACCTCCCTGGGCAGCCCATTCCAACGCCTAACAACCCGTTCTGTAAAGAAATGCTTCCTAATATCTAGTCTGAACTTTCTCTGATGCAACTTGAGGCCATTCCCTCTTGTTCTGTCGCTTTCTACTAGGCTAAAGAGGCTCAAACCCAGCTCTCTGCAGCTTCCTTTCAGGTAGTTGTAGAGGGTGATAAGGTCTCCCCTCAGCCTCCTCTTCTCCAGACTAAACACCCCCAGTTCCCTCAGCCGCTCGTATGACCTGTGCTCCAGACCCTGCACCAGCTTTGTAGCCCTTCTCTGGATATGTTCCAGTAACTCTATGTCCTTTTTGTAGTGAGGGGCCCAAAACTGAACACAGTAATCAAGGTGTGGCCTCACCAGCGCCAAGTACAGGGGCAAGATCTCTTCCATGTCCCTGCTGGCCACACTAATACTGATACAAGCCAGGATGCCATTGGCCTTCTTGGCCACCTGGGCACACTGCTGGCTCCTGTTCAGCCAGCTGTCAATCAATACCCCCAGGTCCCTCTCTGAATGGCAGCTCTCCAGCCACTCCTCCCCAAGCCTGTAGTGCTGCTGGGGGTTGTTGTGGCCCAAGGGCAGCCCCTGGCATTTGGCTTTATTGAAGCTCATGTAGTTGGCCTCAGCCCATTGCTCCAGTCTATCCAGATCACTCTGCAGAGCCTCCCTACCCTCGAGCAGATCAACACTCCCACCCAACTTGGTGTTGTCTGCAAACTTAGTGAGGGTGCACTCGATCCCCTCGTCCAGATCATCAGTAAAGATGTTAAACAGGAGTGGCCCCAAAACCAAGCCCTGGGGGACATCACTCATGACCGGCCGCCAAATTCATTACATACTATAAGAAAACAAATATAATAGGAGTGATACTATGAAAGTAAAATAAATGAGAAGTTGAAGTAAAGCAAACTAAATATCTGGAAATTATTTCCAGCTCCTTACTGGTACTCAAAAAATTCCGCTGAGTTGCTCCCATAGTGCTTTAATTTTTTTTCATTACTACTGGGGGGTCAATTTGGTTTTTAACTGCATCATAACTAAGGAATAGGTAAATTGATGAGATCTCTGCAAAGAGATGTCCCACGAGTAGTTAGAAGTTGCATCTTTGGAGTTTCTTTTCAAACTGAGCAAGCATCTTTCAGTGGAAGTAAACCACAGGTGAAACAACCACCCAAAGGACATAAATCATTCTTAAAGCTAAATAAACTGAGTATGCTTGAAATGCTCTGCAGGATAATATACTTGCATCTATCTCTGTTTAATAGGATACCACTGCTTGGGCATTAAAGTAATATTCCAAGGAATAATAATTCCTTGTTACAAATACCTTTCCTCAAATGCTATTCTCTGTAAAGAAGTTTATTCAGTTCTGTTATTTGATATTTTAAGAATGACAATTCCAGCTTTTCAATTAATTTAAAAATCACAGGTATTAAACATACACAGCATGTTTTACTTCAAAGAAAAATCAAAGAAATTGCGAACATGAAAAAAGGGTCCCCTGACTCATGCACTGAGGCTTAAAAGCTCCCACATCCAAAGCAATTATTATCTTAAGATGTATCTCAATTACAATCACTTTGCAACACCAAGTAAAATGGGAAATGTACTCTGTATCTATGCTATACTAGATGATCTTATAAGACATAAAGCGAAGTACTGGTTTTGGTGCTATGAAATTAATCAGGTTCTTAATACCACTAATAATGCTCTCAACAGTGACACATCCTTCTTAATGGGGTGAGGACACACATCAAAAAATCTTAAGACTTTGGTTTCTTGTTGATGTTACTGAACATGAATTCAAGATTCTCATGTGCCAAGTTAACAAAATCAAGTAACTGGAGTGGAAGCCTGGGAATAGTTTTCATTAAGATTACAACATTCTTTTAAAATGTGTGGTGTAGATATACAGATTGCCAGTCTAATACTATCTTTTACATTTCTCCTGTAATGCAGAAACTGATTACACAGGTCAGGCACAGAGCAGTAAATTATTTCACTGAAACACACATGTGTATTGACATATACATTGACATTGTGACAAGTTTCTAGAATGATGTGAGAGACAATTTGTAAAAATAGGTCCTGAAAGAAACAGGCCTGCAAGAAACAAAGACTCAGAAAAACAGCCTGACAAAGAGATAAAGGATGGTTGGGGAGAGTGGACGCCCTCTGAACTAAGGAATGTCTAACACTCTCAAGTAGTGAAACTGTAGTCACGTGGTGGATGGTGTGGAGGTCAAAGCTGATAAGGCTGCCCGAATAACACAATATGCAGCTGTAGGAGGGAGCCCTGTGGAGACAGGATGGCTCTGCTCTGGTGAACCTGGACAGATTTCAAGGGCCATCTGTCTGGTGAA